ATGCAAAAAAAAAAATCTAATTTTCAACTTCGTCGCAATCCTCCATTTTGAGAGTCAAGGGGGCATTGTCCATGCATCATCTCGTTTTTCTGACTGGTCATGCAGCCGACATGTTTCTTTCTGATAAGACTCATTCCTGCTCATGTCCATTAATGGCGACTCAAGATCATGCGCATGCATTCGAGAATTTTTCTAGGGTTTTCAGGTTTCCTCTGGCTACACGCAACTTCTTGCACAAGTTTAAAAGCGAACACAGTTCATGGGAACACCTGTTCTGTTGATTTTACCCCTTTCGAGGTCGGAATAATTGAGGGAGAATAAAGTTCAACGAAGCTCATAATTGAAGAATCCAACTTGTCTCGAGAAAGCGAGGAATTTTGATTACTTAGACGAACTTTCTTTTATTAATTTGGACCCCCTATTCTGCACTTCTTTCTTTATGATTTGGATCTAGCTTTCGCGCATTAGGCCCCAAAAAGCAATTCCTCCAACTTTATCCTTTAAGGGGCTAGTGAGATCCTATGCACTAATATAACTTCCTCGAGAGTACATGAGCATGAATTGTTGCACTCGCATTCTTAATAATTTTTCGAGAAAAATCCCATGAAATATATATAGGGTCGATATCACGAAAAATCTTAAACCGGTACACCTGTGCTAAATTTATTCAAAATTACTTTTTTGACCGTCAAAACCCCAAACTGGTACATCTGTGATAAATTTACCCCTAAACTAATTTTTTGATCATAAAAAACCCCAAACTGGTACATGCGTAACAAATTTACTATCCGTTAAATTGGATTAATGCAAAAAAAAAATCCTCAAACTAGTACATCTGCGATAAACGGAAGGTAAAACCCCAAACTAGTTTATCATTCAACGGTCACGTGTCATTTAACTCAACAATTTGACAGTAAAATTTAACGAAAACTAACACAGGGTAAATTTGTCACAGGTGTACCGATTTAGGGGTTTTTGCAATTCTTAATAATTTCTCGAGAAAACTCCCAGGAAATATATAACAGTCCTTTTTCTTTGGAAAAATGTTTGGATAGTTTATTTGGGTGGAATTTTCACATTAGAAATAAAAAAAATTAACACCCCCCTCGAGAATGAAGAAGTTGAAGCACGCGAGGAAATATTTTATGAAACGGCCGTACCAGGCGATATAAGGCGGTGAAGAAAAATGACACGATCCCAAAATTTTACCGCCACGTAAGATGATAAGCAAATCACACGACCGGCATAATTGTCGGGTCATACCGAGCCACTTACGTGACCGATACATGAAACGATTTTCCGCAGAGTTCACGTCTCAATCCTTTTCCCAAAGGGCAAAAGAAGACGGGTCGATTTGTGATTTGCCAAAACTGTCGGGGTCGTGTTGCGATTCCCATTGATTCTCATCCGCTGATGAAGGGGACGAACCATAAAAAAAAAGGAGGAAGAAAAACACACACACCTACGAGAGAGAGAGAGAGAGAGAGAGAGATAAAGAGAGAAATTCTTATCAAGTTCATCATCAAGAACGACGGCTTTCGATCGAACATTTTCCTTCGTACGCCGCTTAGCCGAATCGATCGGGAAATGCTACTCTCAAAACACGTCGCTGTCGCCTCTGAGGTTGACGAGGATCGATGAATTTTTTACGGCGACGTGACACCACGGGACGTTTTCAAGATCCTTACGGGAGCTCCCGATATCCCCATCATCATCACCATTATTATTTTTTTCTTCTTTTTCGCCCCTCCCTTTTTTCTCTAAAAATTTGTCTAAAGCATTTCCCTTTGTCTATGCGCGATGAGCGATCGAGTTTGGGACTCCGAGTGGGGGCTTAAAAAGAAAGTTAATAATGATTGGGTCGAAGGGCTAATTCAAAAAAAAAAAAAGGACTAATTTTACATTGAATGATAATTTTGACCTAAAATTTTTTTTTCAATAAAAAGTACAAAATTTTACTTGAGTCCTAAATATAGGCCTGATAGTGTAAAATTTTCAAATTATTGAGGCTAGATTTGGAATTTAAGTGAATATTAGTGATTTTTTACAAGATAGAAAAAAATTTGGGTCAGAATTATTATTCAAGATAAAGTTAGTGCTTTTTTTTTTAATTAAGCCTCGGGTCGAAAGGGGAAAAACAGGGGCCTTCGTTTTTATTATTTTTTTTGTTTCGAAAGGACCCCTTTTTTTTCTAATATTTTCAAAGAAGTGGTGCGAAGATTTTGACCTCTCAATTGAGTTTTGGGTTAATGGGACTTTTGACCCCTCCTCCCTCCATTGGCGTGTCGAAAGTAATGTGCCTACACGGTGTCCCCAAAAGTCGAAAGCAAAGGGAATAGAAGTACTCTCGATCGAGTCCCAATCGATAGTGGAGTCAATGTTTACGATGATGTTGTTACTGATGTTAGATTGCGGCGACTTGTGGGATAAGTAGTACACTCTCCCACACAATAGATTTGGTCCGCTTTTGCGCTTAGCAAATGTCTCTTGAGTTCGTATGAGAACGTGGTACTCGTTCTTTGGTTCGCGCTCTGGGCAGGTCGGGTTTCGGTTCGAGTCACGTGAGCCGTGTATTCTTTGTGTCTGGATTGGGTCGAGGTTCGGCGGAGATGCAACCCGAGCCGCACCGTCGGCGCTCCTTATTGGTATGGCATAAGAAGAAAGACCCGAACTAAGCAATGAAGATTGAAATTTAGTCAGTTGTGTTTAAAAAGGAATTAAGGAGGCGTTTGTATGGGCGAAGGGATTTTTTGCGAATTAATTTCCGGGACTTTCGCGCGTTTGTTTGCTGAAAATGATCGGTCAACAGAAAACCATTTATGGGTCAAAGAAAATATTCGTGCTTGATTTGAAAAGGGGAAAACACTTTATTTCAAAATGATTTTCATGGAAAGTCTTTTCTTTTATCGTAAAGTTTTCTCCAAAATAAATACATCATAAGTAACAGAAAACAAACCCCAGGTTATAGTAAAGATAAATGAAGGCGAATTATGCCTTAGTCCATTGATTATCGGTTACATAAAGAGTATTATCGCGAGGTGTAGAGTCGTATTTCTAAAGATCCGGCGTGTCTGAGTTATATATCACTATAAAAATGACCTTTTATCTCAAATGCTGGAATTGTTTTCTCTAGTGTGGTCATAAGTCATAAATAAACTGCATGACTATTTCGTGGCTAAGCAAGTCGGATGAAGAGACATTTATTCCATCGCTCCTTTTTATAATTATAAATATAAATACCGGGCGAGCTAAAGAGCCATAAATAATTGAGAAAAACATTTTTAGGCAACTATCATTTAATTTTTCCACGTACATCGTGTTATTATCAATGCATACTAGGAATATTTCTAGATTTGATTAGGTCCCAAATTTGCCCCTGGCTCGAAACGAGATAATTCCGAAAATGAAAGACCCTGGTCAGTAAACTTCATTAAGTCCAGCATTACCCTTAATTAATTAGTTTTATATATGGCAAAGCCTTTTTTTTCTGACCCTTTTTTTTTCTCGCTAAGGAAATATCTTAAAAATTTGTGATTCGGCACGTTAATGAAAAGATAATGTTGAATATTTCCATTCCGAATTTTGGGACAACAACTCCTCCCAAATTCATGCCGAAAAAGATCATTCCTCGTCATTTAGGAAAGAAATCAAATCCATTGGCGAATACAACGTGGGGGTTGGGGATTGACAAGCCAAGATGCATGCCCCTGTTTTCTTTTTTTGGGGGCAAACTAATGAATTTATATAGCCTTTATTCGTATCTTTATGACTCGTGGCGAAATGGCAAAATGATTATGACGGATTTGACGACGGTTTTGGCAAAACCGATTTCCGAAAGTTATCTAGTCAAATTTGCTGATTAATGTTCCGTTTTGTTGGTATTACACAGAATGGCGAAAAGGGGGGAACATAAGGAAACATGGGAGCGAGAAATGAAAACGTAGCATATATAGCGGATAGAGAGGATTTACGAGGTTTTGCCCGTGTGTTCCAACTTCTGCGCCTCGCGTTAACTACACAACGGCGGATCATGCCACGGCCACAATAGCATCACCTCGCGACGTAAGATCGAAGAAAACAATCGACGCCTTTACCGCTCGCTGTTGGGATACTCGAGTCCCCGTTTAGTGATATTAGAAATCGGCAACTTTTCCTTTTTTGGGGGGTGTGACGGGAAGCCAGCCTCAGTAAGGAGGGGAGAAGGGGGGGGGGGGGGAGATATTCACTCCGACAGCTGCTCCAATTGCTGGATACACTAAGCTCCTAACCTCCCCCCGATTCATTTACCTGGAAAAACCATCTCGCGGCGCGGCGCCCTGCCCTGCCGTCTTCCACGCGCGGCCGCAGGCGCGTGCGCCCCAGCCGCCCCCCGGCCCCGAAAGAGCGGCGGATGCGCTCGCGCGTGGGGCCCCGCGCTCGGGGGAAGAGGCGCTCGCTCGGGGGAAGAGGCGCTCGCGCTTCAATTTCTATTTCTATTTCTATTTCTCTTTCTTTCTTTCTTTCTCAATGTCCCCCCGCCCGCCCTGTTTAGGCGGTCGCGGTTATAACCAAATTAACCGCTTCTGAAAAACCCTGTAAATTCTCTCCAGCGAGGAAATGAACAAGGAGGAAAAAGGGACGGAGTTCGGGATGGGGGCCAGATAAATAACGCCCCCCCCCGCCCTGCAACCTGCCATTTCCGCTCTCGCAGAGCAGCGAACCAAAGGTTTAGAGAGAGAGAGAGAGAGAGTCGAGACGACAAGAAGGGAGGGAGCCATTTGCAGTACAGATAGGAAAAGCACGAGAGCACAGAGAGGAAGAGAGGGGGGAGCGGGGGCAAAGGCCGACGACGAAAGGACGGATCTGGGGTCAACGCCGTTTGACTGCGGAAGGCGACAAGCGGAGGCTGGGGTGGGGTGGGGGGGCATTTCGGTCATTCCGCACGCGCGCGCGCCCTCCCTTCCGTGCGTGCCTCTCTGTCTCTGTCGCTGCCTCTCTCTCTCTCTCTCTCTCTCCCCACTTAAAAACGATCACCAGGGGAGGGGGACTGCTGTGCGTTGGAGCTCCGTTATTTATTTTATCTTCCCCTCGATTCGGCCATGTCTTTCTTGTTGTTGGTGGTGGTCTCTTCTCGGACCCTCCTGGGCTTGAGATAGAAATAGAGAGATTAGATAGATAGATAGATAGATAGATAGGGAGCGGAATTGGAGCCACACACGCACACATATATATATACACACATACACACATACGCACCAGGGCGTATAGGCAGACGGGGGGTTATCTCTGTGTCTCTCTCTTCATGAGGACCAGGCGAGGGATGTGTTACCCCGAATCGGAACTGTGCACCCAGAAGAAGAGGTCGGCGACGGCGACGGCGACGGCGAAGGGGGAGGACATGGCCTCGTTCGGCCGCAAGCGGCGGAGGCCCTCCCCTCGGGCGGGCGGCGGCGGAGGCCGGGACTTCTTCGACGGCCTCCCCGACGACCTCGTCCTCTCCGTGCTTGGCAAGGTCGCCGCCTCCGCCTCCTCCCCTCCCGATCTCATCAGCGTCCTGCTCACGTACGGCCCCCCCCTTCCCCCTCCTTTTCGTTTGCCCGTTTCGTTTTTCCCTTCGTCTGCTTTTCTTTTTTTTCACCCATTTATTTATCTTCGTTTTCCGTTTATTGATCGTCGCTGCTGTGAAATGAACAGGTGCAAGAGATTTAAAGCTTTAGGCCTGCATTCGATGGTGCTGTCGAAGGCGTCGTCGAACGCTTTCGCCGTCAGAGCTCACGGCTGGTGCGACTCCGCTCACCGCTTCCTCAAGCTCTGCGCCGACGCCGGCAACGTCGAAGCCTCTTACACTCTCGGCATGGTAATGACCAAATTGAATCCACAGATTTATTTTATGGGTTTTTTTTTTAAATTTATTTGTTCGACTAGTAATGGAAGAAGAATGCCTCTTGCGCGGCTCATGGATGAATGCGATTTTTTTCCACAGATTCGCTTCTACTGCTTGCAAAGCCGAGGGAGTGGAGCTTCGCTGATGGCCAAGGCCGCGATTGGGGCGCACGCGCCGGCGCTCTACTCGCTCGCGGTGATACAGTTCAACGGCAGTGGCGGGTCCAAGAACGACAAGGACCTGCGGGCCGGCGTGGCCCTCTGCGCTCGGGCCGCCTTCCTCGGCCACGTCGACGCCATGCGCGAGCTCGGCCACTGCCTCCAGGACGGGTACGGCGTCCGCCAGAACGTCGCCGAGGGACGCCGCTTCCTCGTCCAGGCCAACGCCCGCGAGCTCGCCGCCGTACTCTCCTCCCCCTCTGCCGCGGCCGCGGCCGCTTCCCTCCTCTCCACTCGGGCGTGGCTCGCCTGGAACAGCCCGCACGCGCAGCAGCCGCCGCACCAACAGCACCAGCACCAGCACCAGCACCAGCACCAGCATCCGCAGCAGAACCATCAGCAGCATCCCCTCCGCCACGCGGCCGGCACGGGGTGCCCCTTGCTCAGCGACTTCGGGTGCAACGTGCCGGCGCCGGAGGCCCACCCGGCGAACCGGTTCTTGGCGGAGTGGTTAGCCGCTCGGGGCGGCTCGCCCGGGCCGGGGCTGAGGCTGTGCTCGCACGTGGGGTGCGGGAGGCCGGAGACGAGGAAGCACGAGTTCAGGCGGTGCTCCGTTTGCGGGGCGGTGAACTACTGCTCGCGGGCCTGCCAGGCGCTCGACTGGAAGCTCCGCCACAAGGCCGAGTGCACGCCGGTGGAGCGGTGGGTGGACGAGGACGTCGACGGCGACGGGGACGGCGAGGGCGGGGAACATGACGGAGTGGGCGGCCGTAACGGTGATGTCATGGAGGAGAGTTGACGGCGACGGTGACGGCGACGGTGACGGTGACGGCAGCGGTAGGGGGGGTGTCGGGGGAAGAAAAGGGACCAGTTTTGATGGGGAGTTACTTAGATGAAAATATATTTTTAGATTTGGTCCGTCCATTATTTGCGAATCTTAATATTTTCTTACCCCCCTTCCTTTTTTTTTTTCTTTTTTTGGGTTGTATAGAGATGGGTAAATTCGGAAAAAAAGGAAAAACACCCTCTTTTTTGTCTTTTTTGTACCATGTAGACCAAATGTCAGCCTCAGTTCATTAAGTTCAACATTCAGGTCTCCTCATTTCGATTTTTCCTTGTTTCTTTACTTATGCCTTGATTTGTTTCAATGCGGAGGTCGAATTTACATTTTAAGTGTCCGAGATCGAGTCTATTTTTTCACTTTGCTCAATCCGGGTAGTTTACATGGAAGAAAGGGTTTAAAATGGTAGCGAAATATCACGAAAAAAATCGCGAATTAATGAAATATGAATATGGCAGAAGGGATTCTTCATGTTATGACATTATAATTCATGTGGAGTCACTATTAGTGGGCAGGGCAGGGGTCATGGGAGATGGTCATTCCATGTGCGAATTCGATAGGCAAAAAGCGGAAAGAGCGTCTCCCCCTCCTCCCCCCCCCCCTCCCTTAAATGGTGGGAGCGAGTTGATTTTTTCAAAAATTAGGTTCCGATTTGAAAATCGACGAGAAAGGATCGATTCCTACTCCACTATCAAACCTTCATTATGTACATTTGCCTTAGCTTTGAGGTAAAGATATGTACATGGGCCTGTTCAATTTCCCTCGCCTTAGATGCTGAAAGGAAAGTCAAACCTCTGTTTTTTTTTTTTCAAAAACGGAGGCCGATGGGACTGTAACCAAAGGATCCTAGGTAAATTGTATATTTTCCACCCCATCCCTCCCCTCTTATTTTTATTTATTTTCCCCCCCTCCTTTTTCTTTAATCATTATTGCGTTTGTTGGGCTTTTTTGGGTGGCCAAAAAAGAGAGGAAAAATAAAATGAGAAAAAAGAAGCAAGAGCTTCTCGACCCATCGAAGAAGGGATTATTGGGAAGGGGAAAGAGGGATTATTGGAGTAGTGGGAGCGAACATGTGAAATTGCGAATTTGAGGGGTTGGTGGGGGAGGTAGTGGAAGGGATTGTGGGTCTTTTTCTTTTCCCCCCAAAAGGGCTCTTATGCCTTGCTGCTTGCCTGCTCTCGCCCGAAAATTAATTAAAAAAATTAATTAAAAAAAACCCACTTAAAAAAAAAAGACAGAAAAAAGGGTGGGGGGAAATTGACGAAATATGTGCTCCAAAAGTGGGGATTGCACTTATTCTCTTTCTTTTTCTTCGCCCCCTCCTTTTTGTCCCCCCCTTTTTTTTTTTGTTGAACTTATTTTAATTTTTTTTTTTATATTCTGGCCAGAGCCCTTTTTGATCTTGTTGACTCCATGCTCTTTTTCTTGAGCGCATCGCTTTTTCTTTAATTTTTTTTTATTGTCATTTTGATTTCAAACTTTATTTTGGGCAAATTTTTTTTTTTTTCCATTTCTTTGGAATCAGAAATGCACAAAGATTGGTCCTGGTGAGTGACTTAGGAGGTGATGGCGGTGGACCTGGCCCAGCCCATTTAAAGCCGCTTGGTTAGATCTCGTGCTGGGTGGAAAGCAATTTGTGCCCCTAACAACAGGTAGGAGTTGCATCAGGGAAACACTAGGGTTGATGTAGCACCATAATCTGCAGGTGAAAATTACACTTCGCCTATAGCGAAAAGAAGTAAAAAAAAAAACGAAAAAGAAAATACTCTCTGGCCCTGAATTTTTATCGTTTTCATTTTTCGTAATGTGCATTTGGTCGTTTGCCGTCGGTTCCTATTTCTTTTGTTCACCCGAAAGCCGGTCAATCTCGAAACTCATGATACCGAAAAGAAAGGCAAAGATGGCTAGTGAACTATACCTTCGCCTAGTTGTAGCCCATGCCCTTTCGACAGTTACATGTCACTTGCGTTAGGAGCGAATGAAATGTCGACCGAAAAGAAACATCGGGCAGTATCGATTTCGGGGCTAATTGATGAAGGTTCCCCAAGTAGGGACTAGAATGAAAAAACGAAAACAAAAACAAAACTTAAGGGGGCAGGATGATAGATGAAACGAATTTAACTATGGTAAAAGTTATGCTTTGCGTGTTCAAGCTGGCAGATATGTTCTTGCTTTCGTTCACACGTGCACCGGCGCTGAACTGAGGAGCGAAGCCCGATTTGAAACAGCTAAAGAGCTTCACGAGCCGTCGGACTTGGAAGGTTCAATCGATCGAATCTTTGACTTTTGCGATTCAGACCAACTTATTTCATGGTTCGTACTCGATCGCCTTCGTCAACATAAGTGTCCATCTTGTCACAATGGAATGAAGGGTGATTTGAAATGCTCTCAATTCGGTGATAATCGCGCACAATCTATGTTGTCGCCTGCACACGTTCTTTAATCACTCGTAACTCCGTCGCGTGCACGAGCGGTTGAGAAATGCTGAGGCGAAGGAAAGGGGCTCCTTTTTTCACTAGGGATGCGTAGTAGGAGAATCCGAAAAACCGACATATGTAAAATTGGTTTCGGAGCGGGCATCGGAGGACATACGATAAGATCCGTAACGTAAACGATTCCCTTATTCTTCTTCTTCTTCTTCCTTTTTCTTATCTTTACTCCTTTTATTTTTCTTTTTTTGCAACAACGAATTGAGGGAAGCAAAAGGGAAAAAAGAAAAGAAAAGGGGGTTTTATTCTGTCATCTTGGCAGGAGAATATAGGATAATTCCTTTTCGGTGCTCAAAAAAGGCTGATCTCGCTTTCATTATCTTTGGTGAGAAAGGTTGCCGAATGTTTTTGAGCACCAGAAACTCCAACATGAGTTTGGCCAAAGAAAATAAAAAAGAGCTTTGCGGTGAAATTATATAAATATTTCGTAAAAAGTTACAAGATTTATAAAAATAAAGGGACATGAGTATCGGGAGTCCTAAAACTTGTCATAAAAGTACAATTGAGTCCTAAAAAGTTCAAAAAGTGAAATTAAGTCCTAAATCTCGTCACGAAAGTATAATGCAGTCCTAAAACTTTCAAAAAGTGCAATCAAGTCCCACAATTCGTCAAATTGGTCCAATCAAGTCCTTCCGTCGATTGCACTTTTGGAAAATTGCAGGACTCAACTGCGCTTGACAAGCTTTACGACTCGATTGCACTTCTTAAAAGTTTTAGGACTTGATTGTGCTTTTATGACAAGTTTTAGGATGTATTGCACTCTTTAAAAGTTTTAAAACTCAATAATATTTCGTGACAAAGTTTTACTACTCACGGTACATTGATGTAAAAACAGTAAACGTTTAGTGGGGCAACAGAACTTACGATTCCCTTTCCATCAAAAAAGCCAGAGAGTGTAGGCAGCAATTCTTGATTTGGTCCTGGGCCTACAAAATGCACCGACTGACGCTCCTGCCTCTCTATGCTCTTCTACTGAGCCTGAGCCATAACTCTCTTCCCTACTCCTTTTTTTCTGTTTCCTAGAAAGAAAACGCAATGTTAGGTTAGAAAAATCACAGCTGTGCCCCCAAATATATTCCATATTATGTGCGCTAGGGGAGGCTAGCTGGCTGGTTTGACAGTGCCTTCCCCCTTCCTCCTCCTCCTCAAGTGCCAACCCCTGAAATTTTTTCGCCCGTTCAATTATTGTCCCTTTTGGTCCAACCACCACCAACCTGAACCGATTGGTGGTGGTGGTGGGAGGGGGGCAAAAACAATTGACAGCGAATGCCCCATTAGGAGGTCCTGCTCCTCTCCAGCAAAGAAAAGAGGTCACTAATTGGATTTTGCACTTAGGGTATGGTCAATTGCTCATTTCCTAAGGGTTAGAAAAAAACTGAAGGGTTTCGAATGGCATTGTTGAGGCGCAGATTAGGGGAGTTTCCTGTTTCCTTCCTATGTTCGATTAAAGCAAAGGGGAAAGACTAGAGTCTCGATACGGCGGATGGGCTGTTCGTGATATGTAAGGTCGATATTTACAATAAGTCCCATTGTGTCGAACGTACCGGCCTCGTTGAAACTAACGCACATTCTACGTAGGTCGTGGTCCGCGCCATAGGAAAAAAAGGGTTTCGCGCGGGACCGCCCCCGGACAGAAAGTCGGCTGCGGAATTTGTCGAAGGAAGGGACCTACATCGTCCGTGCCGAGCGCTTGGCTGCAATTCGCGCCGATTCCGTCAATGATTTTTTTTCTTTTCGGAAAGGAAAATAAAAAGAAATGACCTCAGTTAAGGACGTCGGACCAGTTATAGCAAAGTACCTAATCAATCGCCATGTGGGTTATTATGTCATATATTGGTTTGAGTTGAAAATAATAATACGAAAAGAGAGAATTGGGTAATTTTGTGTATATTTGGAAAAGCCTTCACGGAGGCCCGGCCGACCCTCTTCTGGGCGAGGTAGTGGGCCATGTGGGTTATCATGTCATTATTCCAGTGAATGCGAATGTAGTGGGCTTCCACCTTCAGGCCCATTTACGAAATTTGTGGGCCTTGGCCCACTTGGAGCTGATGAAACCGCTAGCTCAAGCTCATCAATTAGTACAGTTCCCTTCTCTTCCCTCTCTCTCTCTCTCTCTCTCTCTCTTTGCGCCATTGAAGCAAAAGCTCGTTAGTTCGGTGAAGTCTGCAAAAACCTGCAGCGCCGATCTTCTGCTTCGCTCCCCGAAGTTTCCATCGCCTGAAGATTAGGTAAAGCACTCCCGATCGTATCTCGTCTTCACTGGCTCACCGGAAGCAATTTCCATGTCGGGTTTCGGCTTGATCGCCGCCTGCGGTGCGGTGCATATCTCGACGTGCTCCGCGTTGGAACTCGCCGCCGACTCGCGTGCTTTCCATTGGAAATGTGCTTTTTCGCTCTTTGGTTTTTTGGAGATCGGTTTGCATCTTGGTTCGGATCGATCGCGACTACGGGGGGATGAATTGCTGTCCGTTTCACAAATTTTATCCGCCCAGGATCCAATCTCGTGTGATGGAACGTGGGTTTGATTTTGCAGTAACCTACATTGTCTCGATACCGAGACAGTTCTTATAGCATGAGTACTGATGTTGCTTGTTTCTATCGAGTCGGCCCGAACTTATCGATCGGCTGCTGATTGCATGCCATCATGTTTGAACTCAGCGTCTTTTGATCACCGTCGCGTGATTCTTGAAATGACTATGTCGTTGAACAGGTGCATATTTATGTTTTCTTCCATTTTAGCGACATGACAACCTGCGCATGCGCTTGTTGTTTTGAAACAGAGGTTTACGTAGGAGTTCAGCATGATACTGCCACATTCAATCTTTGCTTTTGGGACCGAATTTATTCCTGAATTTGACCTTTCATCTCAGATGTTCTTCTTTGGCATGTGTGATCATGACACTCATTTGCACCTCCAGTTTGAACATTAGTAAGTACTTGCACATTCACTTCAAGTACATCGTGAATTGGCTGATGATTTGACTTCTTTGTGATGACTCATTGATCAGTGAATACCGATTCATCTAGGCTCTAGCTACTGTCTCTAAATACTACCATGGGATAGATATAAACCATCATCGCGTGTATATTTTTTTTGTTCATGCTCGACTGCTGTGCAGTTGAAACAAGAAATTACTGGACAGCCCGCATGCATTCGGCAACGGAAATGTTTTGCTTAATATTCACGGAAAATCGCTTAACTTTTTTTCTCTGCAATACTCACAATCTGATTAAACATTCAAGTGGGTGGTCACGTTACATGGTTGATATGGATATGATGATTCTCCCAAACTTGCAGCAATGCCTGTCTCAAGCATTTTTGTTTGTTATATGTTTTGCTTATTGGAGTTTGGTTTGGACCCAATCCACCTTGTTAAAGCAGACAAACTCTTAACACCTATTGAAGAAGGTTCAAGCTTCCATTTGTATGCACTTACTTCAACCGTTAGAAGGATTTTTCACAAGATAATATTTACCCTCGTTGCTATGACAAAACAGAGCCCCTTCACTTTGATGACCAGTGCTAAACACTTCTCAGACGGGACTGGTACTTCAGACAGCATAGCACGTTTGATGACATGGGTCCCAAGTTGCTGCTTCCGAGCATACGGTTCCTCAGGAATGAAGATGATGATGCACACATCATTTGGACAGCAATGAGGTGCTTCTTATTTTCTTGATCTTGATCACATCAAAAAGCTCAATCTGCGGCCTACCTGAGCTAGACTCGATGGTCGTGACTTCATGCTAGATGGCTGATGCTTGATATGAGCTTCGATCGACAAACATTTTACCGTCGACCCGTAAGTTTTTTTCGAGTTCGCATGATCCACATGAGCTTAACATTTGGGAAGAATCCCATTTGATCAACGTAATTATTCACATTCACCCATATGAAGAGAGAAAAACGAGGTCCAGTTGTCTTTTACATCACACTTCAAATCGGCTTCACGACATTCAGACAGGACATTTTTTCCCCTTTTAACCTACAAGCCACTAAGATTATCGCAAACCAAGCCCCGTGCAGCACAGCAAGCAATCAATCCGACTCTGAACTCGACACAGACTTATGTGGAACCTCGACCTCACCTTTCTTCTCCGCTTCGCAGCATTTAAATGCCTCGGCGATCTCATCAGTGGGGACCAGCGGCAAGTAGCCAATCACAGGATAGCCCTTCTGCCTAATGTCCATGACGACATGGTTGTACTTCTTCGACCAGCGAGCAGCTGTCGGCACGGTCATGTCCACTACCATGTGCAAGGGCTGAACCTTGTTAAGCCTAATCCAGACCTTCACGCTTTGGTCCAGGAGGACCTGCTTCGACTCCGTAGCAGCGTAGTGCAGAGCTGCATGCGGTCCTCCCGTTTGAGCCTCGTTCACGAGTCTCTGAGCCTTCTCTGCCGTCTTCAGAATCAAGTGATGGACTTCACAAGCAACGTACTTGGCAACGGGAGGCGCATGCTTGTCGAATTTGTCTGTCGCTTCATCGACCTGCAACAGTAAACAGCCGGTGACTACTTCAGCTTTATCCATATGCCGTCATTCCTTCATCAATACGTAAGCTCTAACCAATTGGTTGGCCCTTTGAAATTCACCTTTCATATGTTCTGGAAGTTCTACCTTGATATACTAACACATAAAGTCGCCAGTCCAGTGACTGCATCAGTAATATCTTCAAATGAATGCAACAACATCCAATACAAAGGCACAACAGATGCAACTCAATCTCAGAGAAGTGCTCAAGACACAAAAGTGGGGATTAATCAAATCATATGAATCCACAATGATGCGGCTTATTATTCGAATATGGACTCCAGAATTTCAGGCTAGCTCACAAGTTGCACCGGTTCGAGTTTTCAAAAGACAACAGAACCCGACCATTCGAGCTCGTAGTTGATTTTTTCGATATCTCGTGAACTCGAAACGAATTGGGTCAGCTTGAGCAGCTATCGAAAATAGCTTAACCGTGCTCACACCCCTAACCAGAAGTCGAACGGTCCGTGAGCTGCTGAACATAACTGAAGAGTTCTTACGACGTCCTTCGACTTGGCGAACGAACTAAGTAAAGAGAAGCGAAACACGCGACTTTAATGGCTACATGAACAGCTATCCATTCAGGGGGAAAACCATAATTAACAGAGTGTACTCTCACGCATTACGCAGCTCAGATAACGATTAAAATAGAGTTGACGGTCATTTCCTGAAAGAAATCGCGAAGCAACCGATCTCGAATCTTAATCCTTCCCAAACCTCGATCAAATCATTCCCACCGAAGAACAGATTATTTCAAGCAAGAGACTCCGGCGATCGAACGCGAATCAAAACACTGACGGAAACTACTACCTTCCGATCGGCGAACACGAGGAGATCCTCCGGCACGGCCCTGAACTTCTCGTAGACAGGCCCCACGACGGCCGTCACGGCTCCCTCCACGGTGGTCACCGCCGATCTCAGGGGCCCGCAGTTGTGCTTCGCCCGGTCGTACAGTCCCGACACGAAGGCCAGAGCATGGACCGCGGCGAGCCTGACGAACCCGAGGTGCTTCAGCGGGCGACTCGTCTTGGTCTGGCCGTTCTCGGACTCCATCTGGGTCACCAAACAAAACCGAGAACCAGCTGAGAGAAGCCCGAAAGAGAACGTAAATCCTCAGATCACGATCCTCGTCTGATGGCAAAGCGAAGTGGAAGGATGAAGAAGAAGAAGAAGAAGGCAGATTCGTGTGGTGATGAGTACCTTCAGCTATGCGGCTCGAATCAGAGAGGCGTTTGGTTGCTCCTTCGCTTCCTGTGCGTGAGAATCGATGAGGAGCTTTCTTCGAAGAGAGAGAGAGAGAGAGTGTTCGCGTCGTAAGGGAGGTGTTCGGACGTGCGCAGGTAAGAAGTTTTACGCTGGAGGAGGAACCTATTTAAAGGGTCTTTTAAATATAAAAGTAATTTCGTACTAACGGAAAGGGAAAATTCCGACCCAAAAAAAAAATTGAAAGGGAAAATGACACGGTGGTCCCCGTACTTTGGTCCGACGTGTAATGTCATTTTCGAATTTTGAATTTGTTCGATGTGATCCCTGAACTTTAACATCAATATGCGAATTCGTCTATAAACTTTTGATTTGTTCCATAAATCAAATTGAATTCGGAGATATAATAATCTAGGGATTAGGTTGAATATGAACCAAAAGTTCGGAGAATCATATCATACAAAGTAAAAATTCAGGGACGATATTGCACATTGATTTAAAATTCAAAGATTAAATTGAACAAATTAAAAATTTATGGGCAATATTTCATGTTAGGCTAAAGTGGGTGCATCGTTTATGTAATTATTTCTCAAAGGAAATAGAGGGAAAATTAAGAGAAAAATTGAAAATTGACGCGAGGAAGTGGGGTCAACCATAAGGATCGATCTGACGGTGGAGATGCGAGGATCATCTGCAATTGGGAGGGGCCCCGGCGATGAGGTTTCTAGGCGAAATTAGAGGCTTCGGGAAGGACACGTGGCGCGATCGTGACGCCCAGCTTTTGGCGTGGGGGGCCCCAGATCTAGATATCGAAGGAATCCGCAGTTTGGGGGGGAAGGCCACATCGTGTGGGCCGTCTATGCAGGTGACGAGGCGGGCCCCCACCTTGATTGGAATCTCTCTTTTTGATTTCAAAGAATAATGCCGAAGAGCATCGCGGTAAATTAACAATGGTTCCATCGCGGTAATAATTTCGATTCGCAACGAAGGCAAAATATTTTCATTATAATTAGCGCTAAAAGAGTGTCTTTTTAGGGTACTCGTCAAGCACCGTTCTTAATATCACCAGAGAACCCTAAACTGATACACCGGCGATTCATTAATTTCTGTTAAATTTTACCGTCAAATTGTTGAGTTTGATGACACGTGACAGTTAACGGATGTACCATTTTAGATTTTTACCCCTCTAATTTATAATTTTTCATGGTATTAAATAAATTTGACGAAGGGTATGTTTATCACAAGTATACCGGTTTGGAGTTTTTTATGGTCAAAAAATTAGTTTGGGGTAAATTTATCAGAAATGTACATGTTTGGGGTTTTTCATAATATTATCCCTTTTTAAAAATGAAATTCACGAAATTCACTTAACCGGTTATTCAGCGAATACTCTCGAAACGCTTGTTGGAAAAACTCTTATCGCGACTATAATTAGCAATAATGCAACGGGTGGTTACGGAATGGTAACTTCCCAATGATACGTGACTGTGCTAACGCATCAGTACTAAAGAGACTTTCCCTTCGTGCGCCTTTTGTTCCATTAACTCCACACTTACATATCATCTCGATTCACACTCAAACTTCAAAAGGGTTTCAAAGTAGTCGACCGTACTAAACAAAACTCTTTACATGATTAATTCGACGACTTTGCCGACGCAAATGCGTCGGCACGAACAGCTCCACGAGGAAATATAGTCTGGACCTTTAGGTGGGGGTTCCAAACTACCCCGGGCGTTACGTCTTAGGCAACGGATTTCCTACAATCGCATGGGAAAGAAGACAACAATAACTCCAACCCGACGGTCGTACGAGACCTAATCGACCACAGGTACCACCTTGAACTTTCCTACGTAAATCGGATAGAGGTGGGACTTGGACTCTTGTCTTAATGACAGGGACAGCCACGAACCAGCGTTCGCGTGGGGACTGGAGTTCGAAGTACTGCGTGATGAGCTCACTCCACAAATCGGGTCGTCTATCTCCGAAACGAGACCCACAAAGATTTTATTTATTTTATGAAAAATAAATAATTTAAAAAATATTTTCTTTAAAAATATCGCTTGTATAGTTAAAATAAATTATATCGTTTATCTCCAAAACGAGACCCACTGAGGCTCCGTTCATTTTACCAAAAAATATATGATTTGAAAAAAAAATTTCATCGTCCACGAAAAATATTTAGACACGCGAAAATATTTTTCATTGACTAATTATTTCAAGCGATACGATTGGCTATTTTTAAGAAAATATTTTTTAAATAATTCATTTTTCGCTAAATAAACGTAACCTAAAATTAGATCGTTAGAATAATCGGGATGCACTTTTGACGAACCGGTGGGCTGAAGAAATCCCACAGATTTTGAAGTGGAAAATCAGCCGAAACTCAGCTTGCTGGGATCGTTATCATGCACCGATAAAAGAGAGCGCTCACCTAAAAGCGATAAGCTTGGGGGCAGGTACGGGCGAATCCTCATCATCTTTACGCAAATAGCTTCGGCGAACTTGGCTCAACCGGCGTTTCCTCGAACCACTGGCGAATTGATTAGGACACTAATTAAGGCTTTGTTCGTTTCGCGAAAAATATTTTTTAAGAAGCCATTTTCCAAAAAAATGATCATATTTTTCGTTGGAACCTGAAAATATGTTCCACTGTTCAATATTAAAAATCTGATTTGATCTTCTTCCTTGCACTCTTTTTAATAATTTTTTTTTTTTGGTAACCCAGGGAACCCCCGCACGGCCGACAGCCGGGGAGTAAACCCTGGGGGCGACACGTGCTAGCCACCACACACGTGCCACCGGTTAAGTCACCCGGCGGCGCCCGGGATTCGAACACTCAACCTTTTACGAGAGAAAGAGTGCGCGCTCCACTCTTTTTAATAATTTTTATTTTTACTAAAATTCAAAATTTTAATTTTAATAAATTTTTATATTTCTTTTCTTTTTCTTTTCTTCTTTCCCTGCCGGTCGCCCAAGACGACCGGCGACCGGCCACAGGCGAGGCTCGGCCTTGCTCACCCAAGGCCGGCGACCTTCAGCAAGGCTAAGTCTCACGTTGCCAACCTCGAGCGAGGCCGATGCCTTGCTAGATCTGGCAAGGCGAGGCGAGGCCTCGCTCGCCCGAGATCGGCGAGCTCTGGCATGGCCTAGCCTCGCCTTATGGCGTCGAGCGAGGCTTTGCTTGAGCACGTGAGGCCTCCCCTCGCCTCGCTAGATGTGGCAAGATCTCGCTCGAGCCTCACCTGTGGCTGGTGGCCAGCCAGCCGTCATCATGGCCGACGACTGGCCGAAGGAGAAGGTCCAAAAAAAAGAAAAGAAAAGAGAAAAAGAAAAAGAAAAATAAAAATAAAAAAGATTATTAAAAATTAGAATTTTAAAAAAATAAAATTAAAATAATTAAAATGAATGGTGATTTTCCACACTTTGAAATGTGTTTTGTCCATCGAGGGAAAATATTTTTCATAATTAGTTCATTTTTCATGAAACGAACGCCGAAAAACCCGAAAAATATTTTCCAAAAGTTATTTCCATTAAACGAAAAGAGCCTAAAAGTCAAAAAGCCTGCAGATAAACATGCCATGCAAGCAAGACATCCAGGTCCCTTGAAAAACGAGTTACGCCGCAGGTTGCGGACTTTTAAAATGTATGTTTCACGATCGAGCATGAGATATCATTTAAATGTTCTCGAAGTACGACGTTTTCATCCATCCTAGTCAAACACTAAGGTCCCAATCTCATTATTGTGGATAAAAAATGAGTAAATTTCCTTAGCGGGTGCCATCATATTAACATGGACCTATGCAGGATCAAAGAAAGAGAAATTGCATTATTAACCATGAACCATCTCTCAGGATAGAAATTGACACCAAAGCGAGGATTTGCCTCCCCAATTCCGCTGAACGTACCGACGGGCAGCAAAAGTCCGAAGGCGCCAAATTTAGTGTACGCTCCTAGGTTCAAACTTCAGGAGTACGGCAGAAACTTCAGCGAACTTTCTCAAAAGTTCAAAGCCATATGGAAGAACAGTACTCCCCTTGAATCTCAACGATGTCCTTTAGAGTAACCCTCAACTACTCTCGGAAAATTTTCAAATTATTTGATACATCGAGACCCCTTTGATCTCTCCTCTTCTGTTTTCATCAAAGCTATTTTTATTGCGCATTTGGTCCAGAAAAACACTCAAAACAAAGAGAAGGGAATATCCTAAAACCAATAAATTAATGTTACAGACAAATAAACAGACAAAACTGCCTGCTTGGAAGTGAGAAGCTGAAATCCATATGGAACCACTCACCTCTCGAAAGGATCGCCCCTCCTCGTGTTTAGAGGATAGACGGCAGCAGCTATTTTCTCCTGGAGATTGTATTTCTTTGCAATAAAAGGCCGGACATCTTCGACGCCAACTAAGCTCTCCAAAAACGGCAGTAGCCGTAGTAACTCTTGATCCGCTTGATCGTCAAACCAGCTCTCGATGGGTATTCCATTATCCACTTGGAATCCAAATGCCTGAGGAAAAAAAAAGCAAAAGAATAGGAAATTGAGATGAAAAGGTAGACAGTAAAATAACTGGACCATCTAAAACTAATGTCTTGGTTATACAAGAACATATAAATAAACTAATGTCAGTTTATTAGGCAATATAGAACTTCACTTTTAGATTAAGTCGGCATAATCTGTTGAAAACAGGGAAATTATGGGCGTCTCAAGGAGTTGGATGATATATGAAGTTCTCTCTATAAGAACGAATGACCATTCAGGACAAGCAGCCAATCTCATACTGAGCTATCAAAACCCTAATTGACCACAGTGTGTGTACATATGTTGCTTAGTCAATGGGTGTTACTTCTCAAACTCAACACATGAAAACAAGATAGCAGCATCACGAAACAATTGTACTACATAAGTACTTCAGAAGTGGCAAGAAAAGGATATGACTTTTCGTTTCTCTCATGTTCAAAATAATTGCTCAAAAGTTAAGTTCAAGCAAGAAAAAATTTATCATTTAAGGTTCCGTTTGTTTCACAGAAAATGAATAATTTGGAAAACATTTTCAAAAAAAAAAATCACTTTTATTGCTTAAAAAAACGAATGAACAAAAAATATTCTCATTGTCAACGAAAACGTTTACACATAAATTATTTTCAATAATGAAAAACATTTTTCATTAACTAATTATTTAAGCGATCATTTTTAGAAAAACATTTTCTAAATCATCCACGAAACAAACCAAGCTTAAGAGTAAGTTGCATCTCATGCTACATTATCAGGACATCTTGCATCAGAAAATGGCATAGTACCTCCAGCAAATGTAACCATTCTTTAAGTCACCGATTAAGTGATTTCTGGTGATCGCATTGAAGCAGACAGAATACAGCCCAAATATGATATTATCACCAAATTTAAAACTCTTGCAGGGGAAGCATAAAATCATCGAAAGCATTCTGACAAGATAATGATAGTACATCATAGTACCTGCGGAGAATTATCAATGATGATGACATGTGCCAGGTCACGACCGAGGACGGATAAGTCTTTTAGGTAATTTCCCTCCACATAAACACAGGAATCACGATAGACACGGTGACGAAACACTTTCCTTTTCGGGTCGAGCACATTGAGAAGCTGTTCCGCATATATACTCTGACTTGCTGTGAATATTATTATCTCAAAAAGACCAGAGACTCTCTCCATAAAATCTCTTAGATGAGGACGGCAACGAACATAGACAGTATGCTCTTGAAGATTAAAATTAACTGGAAACGTGAAATCTGCCTCCTCACAAGGTTCTAGTGTGGAATGCACCAAAGTTTCTGCAAAATTCAAGAAATCAAACAAAGATGAGCTAAATCACAGTAAGTCGACTGATTTAAGAAATATTAACCAGCATCAGCATAATAAGCTACATCAGTTAAGAACATCTATGTGCTGAAAGAAAATCGGTGATCTCAATTTCACCAAAGAGGAATGACTGACCAATGCATTCATTAATTCCACAGGAAAGCAACGATAATGACCAAAAGACCAAGAAAGGTATACTAAAGTTCTAGCCAATAGTGCCTTGGAACCAACTTCTTAACAAAGTTGAAGTTGTCCACAGATAATCATTGCATAAAGTGTACTAACCGATAATTGCTGGAGTATCAAGAAAGACACCAATGATGATGCAGTGGACATTGGAGGGTACATTACCAGAAAGACAGACATTTATCGAGAAGTAAAACCTTACAACTTTTGAAGTTTGTAATGAAAATGAGAGAATTCCCGGCTGTTTTATTTCTAAATTAAAACAGCAACGTGATATCCAAAGTTACATAAGGTAGCAACAGACAACTGAAACTGATAGTATTGGTTTTAAATAATTTAGAAATAGGTGAACTTGCTGACACCAAGTTGAATAGTTTACTTACCATCCAAGTCCAAAACAAGAGTGGTCGAAGGACAACTTCTGGTCTGCTTAGGTAGCAACATTCGCCGAAATGTTGGGACAACAGAGGACAAGTCTGGCAAGTTTTTTATGAAAAAATATGGGTCAAAGTCATCAAGCTCATCATAATCATCATCTTCCACACATACGTCTGTAGTAATAGTATCTTGACCATGCTCATCAACACATTCAAGCTTGGAGTTTTTCATGGCAAAATATATGGCCGAAACTTCAGATGAAAGGCTGGCTCCTTCAATATCCATACTGTACTGAGAACTTAAAGCATTAGTATCTAGACTAAGCATCATATCCCCATTGTCAGCATCTGAATTTTCTGAGGACATATTTTGGTCCATCTCCGCATAATTTGAGCAAGTCATACTCATTGAAGTTAAGTTATTCTCACAAAAACTCTTCTCGTCCACCGAATAGCATCCTGAATTTTCATGAACAACATGACCATTCTGCACATCAACTTGCAACTGCTCCGAGCCACGCCGATGATGATTTATTTCTTGCTCAATTTGATAGAATGTGACCGAGTTTTCTAGAGAAATGTAGAAGACAAATATTAGAGAATGAAGTTTGAAGTTCTAGAAGAATACAATGACCATTGATAATCAAAAGGGAACATAATTGAATAAGTATCAGGTAGCAGAAGATATATAATTTTTCCATCTACCTTCATCAGCAAGCTCCCTGTCACCATTTCTAGATGAATGAAAAGCAGGAGAAAAAATAGTCTCCAAAACAACATGAGCAGCTCCCTCTTGAGGACCCTGATAAAAAATCATTCGAAGTGTTCAAACAAGAGTAGACATGATACTCGATCATGTTGCAGAGCGAATATACTATTATAGTCAAAAGTCAGAACTATATAAGTCAAATGGGAAAATTTGAAAGAGGCAAGAGAAGCAGCAATTCAACTAAAGCAAAGGTAGAGCGATACAAAGAAAAGATCGACATGTCAAAGCCTGTTTACCGTGACCAGGATAAATTCAACCAGAGCAGAAACAAAAACATAATTGTTCCAGACAGTGGAGCTTTAGAGCTAAAATTGAAGTTCAAATAATTGCCCCTCTCCATCATGCCTCACTTTTCTCTTCTCTATTTCCTCCAGCAAGCAAGAAAATATTTCTAATCCATATCACCTCTACATGTACTGAACGACAAGCCGGCATCTATCCTGATGCCCCAACAAAAACATTTCAAGGAGAATAAAGAAAAGCCACTTCTCTCTACACAGGAATGCAGGCCTGTACAATGCAAATGCTGGTAGCAATTACCTTACAATCGAAAGAAGCATCCTCAGTCACATCACGGTCCAAACAAGCATCTGAACTGAGCCTGCTTCTTCGATTCTCGCTCTTCAAAGCAAGGGAAGTATCGTTCTTCTTCTGAGGAATGCCAGCTAAAGTAACAGCAGGAAAGTCCGCAATTACTTAAATGACGAGAACTTTCTAATCATTTTTAAACCAAATTCAACGTTTACAATACAGCACGCTGAATGCTCATAAAAGTCAAGACTACATTAGCTGACATGGCTCATGCTTGAGTGAATAAACATGGAACACAAAGCTAGTGCCACAATGATTTTAAAATAAAACGGACTCCTTCCAAAACTTTATGAAAGAAATTATGACATAGCTGCTAGCAACTACAAGTACTACATACTTTCAAGGGGAATATTGCATGACAAGTCCTAAATCTTATGTACGGAATGCAATCAAATCTTAAACCATTCAATTGGTTCATTAAAGTCCAAAACTTTTATCAAAAAGTGCAATTGAGTACTAATCTCTTAATTAGTTCAATTCAATCCTAAACATTCATTAGAATGAGCAATTAAGTTCTAAAACTTATGTTGAGAAGTGCAAATTGAAAATGCCACTTCGACAAGACTTGATTGCATTTTTTGAAATAGATTTAGAACTTAACCGAACCAATTGAAATATTTAGGACTTGATTCAATTCTGCACACAAAATTTAGGACTTTCGGCGCACTTTTCCCGACTTTAAAGGATAGATTCGAAGTTCGTAAACCTTACTCTAAGAGGACTTGCTCTATGAACCATTCAAAACCCATTGCCTTGAAGTTCAAAAACACCATATTGCATGACCATAATATCCAAAATCCGGAACAAATTATCAGAATCAAGAGATCCTACAATACATAATTTGATTGGATTAACAACAATTTGATAATGACAAATTGGTGCTTTAGTGGCATTATAAGATGTCTGCAGAAGGTGTACCTTAAAAGACAGCTTCGCTGTCTTTTTAATAGATTAGTCATCTTTAACAGTGTGCTATTGCTCAATGCATGTGTGTTTAGTTCCTAGAAGTTTTATAAAAAGTAATGAACTCAACAAAATTATTATCAATACACTGCATAATCACTATACACTAACTAAATCGATCTTATGAGATAAGTGTAGGTATAATATAACAAAACAAATATACAAGGACCACTAGTAGTAAAAAAAGTTTAGAATTGAATAAATCAAATATACAAGGACCACACAGCATTTTATCCTTTTCTGTTGTAGCAAGGCAGTGTTTCTACAGGAAGTAACCTTATGATGTTACTGAATGGTGAGCTTAGTTCTCCTTAACAGCGGCATTCTTTCATTGCATTTTTACTGGATGTGATATGACTAATACTTCTTAAGTAGGATGTTGCAAAATGATGAGCAGATATGCAACAAATTATTTGAACACAATCGCAAGGGGCGTTCACAATAGCTCTCAAATGACCAGTGAAATTTGAAAAGGAATCGCTTCTCAAACAATTGGCAACAGATAAATCACATTATTGAATTCATTAATAAAGCACTAGCCACAACATCCAAACTCGAGGCAACCTTGTACTTTCTTAACTACACAACAGGGAAACAAGGACATCTTACAGCTCCGTTGCCTTCTAGGTGAGGATGTAATCAGCTGCGATGCTTTCTTATGAGCTATTTGCGCATTTTCAGAACATGACTTCTGAGCTCTTGATACTCTAGGACTGGCGTGATCTCTAGCAGCGATTCTTGCAGATCCTTTTCTCTTATTTTGCATCGTTCTACCCGGTAGAATTCTCCAGTGTGATATGCCACTTCCAGTTTAGAGAAAATACTTTAGAAACAGTCAACTCCGTTCCCAGACCCAAGAAATAAGTGCTGTATCAGTTGGGTTCCAAGAATCTTGTGAAAACTACTAACTGCAACAATTTACAATATATTAATTATCAAACGCAAGATTAAATAAGGGATACAGAAAACTTCAGCCCTTCTCCACAATAAAATCAAAAGAGAAACGATAATCTGCCTCTCACTTGCTTATATCTTAAAAGGCAATTTCCTTGAAATAGATGCTCTATAGAAGAAAAATGGCTCACAATTGCTAGGATGGGAGACAAAACAGACTCAAAATGTGAAATTGAGAGAATTAAAGGTACTTGACATAGCACAACTACAAGGTTTAGGTGAAACCTGACAAAGGTCAAGGGATTCACAGTTTAAGTATTCCAACGCTGCTGGAACTGTAGACCTTGAATGAAATAAAAAGAAATGGCTCCTTAGCACAAATAATTTTTCCATTGTAATAATTGTCTCTAACAATCTAAAAATGTTCTAAAAAAGATGGGATTATACCACAAGTAGCGAGAAACGAACATTCCTCGGAAGCAAAGAATTGACATGTAGCTAACAGTTCATAGCACGGCCAAGAATAGCATTTTCTGACTAACAGTTTAATCAATCTGTGGAAGTTATCGCACACACCGCACGGGCAAATTACAGAGATGCTAACATGAATCTAGGTTGGCAACGTTCTCCGAGCTCAAATAACGAACTTAGATTACTAGATCAACAAGAACCATCAACAAAATATATTACATAGACGTTGAACGTTAAAAAGGAAACAAGCCACAAACCCTGCTCGAAACATTCCTCGGAAGCAAAGAATTGACATGTAGCCAACAGTTCATAGCACGGCCAAGAATAGCATTTTCTGACTAACAGTTTAATCAATCTGTGGAAGTTATCGCACACACCGCACGGGCAAATTACAGAGATGCTAACATGAATCTAGGTTGGCAACGTTCTCCGAGCTCAAATAACGAACTTAGATTACTAGATCAACAAGAACCATCAACAAAATATATTACATAGACGTTGAACGTTAAAAAGGAAACAAGCCACAAACCCTGCTCGAAACATTCCTCGGAAGCAAAGAATTGACATGTAGCCAACAGTTCATAGCACGGCCAAGAATAGCATTTTCTGACTAACAGTTTAATCAATCTGTGGAAGTTATCGCACACACCGCACGGGCAAATTACAGAGATGCTAACATGAATCTAGGTTGGCAACGTTCTCCGAGCTCAAATAACGAACTTAGATTACTAGATCAACAAGAACCATCAACAAAATATATTACATAGACGTTGAACGTTAAAAAGGAAACAAGCCACAAACCCTGCTCGAACCAACTCTCTCTATCCGGACCATGTCAATCACTCGCCTCGAATTCAAAATGAGTCAGCTTCCGCACATCTAAAACTCGAGCACACAAGCAGGCAATTGCTCAGCTCAGCGTTCTTACAGTAAGCTACAACCGAAACCCTAGACGGCGGGACACTGAGCATTCTCACCGCAGCTCGAAGCATGCAGCTCCAGACTTGCTCATTTCCAGCTAAACTAGCCTCAATTCGACGACACGACCACCGCATCGAGCTCAAACAGCAAGAAACGAAGAACGAGGCCGACCGATCACTGAGCTCCGAGCCAATTGCGCACGGCACCGGAAATCCCAACCGTCCCGACCAACGCAACGCAACGCGAGAAAACGCGCAGACAGCAGGTAAGAGCGGCAAACCTGAGCTGATGCTGGCTCGAATTCCCCCCAGAATCGCGGTCGAGACGGAGGAAAAAAATGGCAAGAAACGAGGACTCCGGGAGCAGCAGCGGCCGGAGGAGGTCGTCCCGGGCGAAGGAAACCGGAGCGATCTCGGCTCCGCCGGCACCGGAAGCGGGCGAGGAAACCGGAGGTGGAGCGAGGCCGGAAAAGCCCTAGCCGGTGGAGAAGGGAGAGCGGAGGGAAGAGGCTTTGCGGGGGATTGTTTTGGTTCGGAAGTTTTTCCCTCCAAGGAGACGAAGGAGAGGGAAAACGAAAAAACAGAGAGAGAGGGAGAGAAAGCGAAGAGAGAGACGGGTCGAAATTTTTATCTCCTTTTTTTTTTTTATTTATAAATTAATTTTGGGTTTGTCTGAACGGAGAGGATGAGTGTTGGATTTTTGAAAAAAAATGAGATGCGATTTTCCCAGATTTCGGAAACTGTCCGTATCGGGGCACGGCGCGACGCGCTCGGGGGCCTCGGTCGGGGCGCCACGCGCTCGGGTGTGGTGGACACGTGTCCCGATCGGCTTTTTGCGTCGAGCTGACTCGAAGGGCGCTTGTGGAAGGAAAGCCCGGTGTGTCCACTCGCGAGACCCGCGCTTGGGTGAAGGCCCGCCATCGCCATCGTGGCGGTGAGTGATTAGGACATGACCACGGCGGCCTCGTCGGGTGTGAGGGGAGAGAGAAGCGTTTCGGGGGAGGACGAGGACGGCGGTCGGCGGCCACCGGGCGCGGCGGATGGCGGCCGGGGCGGTGGGTGGCGGCGAGGAGATTGGGTTTCGTTGGGGGAGGAGTGCGCCGGGTTTTGTTGGATATTGCTAGAAGAGTATTTTTTCTTTTTTTAAAGAGGGTTAGCTTGGTCCATTTTTTGTGCCAGGATTTAGGCCACAATGCAAAAAATGTGTTTTTAGAACATAGAAGGTGCAAGGTGATAAAAATGCGTAAAGTGAGGATTATATATTTAGCCCCGAACTTCAGTCGAACATGTAAAAGAAATTTTAATAAGTACTAGATAATCCGACTTTTACGCCGTACGCCGACAATGTTTTACACGAGTAATCTTTAGAATATGATTGAACCTGTAAAAATGGGTTGTTGACCTATTTCTTAGCTCGTATTTGGTGAGTTATGTTAGTTATATTCATTAAATGGATCATGAATAAGTTTAGAATAATAGTGCTCGAAATAATATGTGTGTTAAATAGGTTCACAACTTACTTAGACCCAGCTCATTTATATGATTCTCTCTTGCCTCGTTTGACCAATCTCGCACTCACTCACTACCTCAGTTTGGGTATGAGTAAACCGGTTAAAATGGGTCTTAACCATGTATGACCCAATTTTGTTTAGACGAGTCACTTCAAATTTGAAGAGTCCACCCTCAATGGGTTTCAAAATTTAAAGTCTAGAATAAATTGGTCAAACGGGTTCCACTCCAACCCATCAGAGCTCAAACTCTCTTCCCTCTCCCTCTTCGCTCTCTCTTCACACTGGTCGTCGTCTTCCCCCTCCATACGCCTTAGCTTGCGCCTCAACATCTCGTTGGACGCTTCGAGTTCTTTGATCCGCTTCACCGACTTGGCAATCTTGGCAGTCTTGGAGCAGATCACGCCCTCAAGTACCTGAACGAGGGACACCATCTCTCGTACAAGCTCGTGCTCGAGGAGGGACTCGTGCTCACGAATGTCCTTGACGAATGGAATAGCTTAGAGATGTCCAGGGGCCGGGCTGGACCTGGGTGAAGGAGCGTGGTAAGTAGGCGCCGAAGGAGCGACCGAATGCCGCCTTGTGGGAGGAGCTCTCGGCTGAGCTTGGAGAGACAGCGACGACAGCTTTAGCAAATCATATCTTCTCCCTCAAGCATGCATTTGGCGGTTGTTCATGTCACTGGTGTCGTTCGCTCGTGATTTTTTGGTCTGAATCACTTTCTTAAAGTTACTCATCTTTTGTTCTCTTGGATGAGAGCTTGTTATGATTCCAATAAACAATTCCATAAGTTGGATTAAAAAGTATTTAACAAAAGTGCTATTGTAACTGTGCCAATTTTAGTTGTGTGTTAGCTAGCGCCTCTTACTTCGAGGTTTCAAAGTCTTTGGATCTTTTTTTTCTTTTTCCCCCCCCCCCTTCTTTTTTTTCTTCCTCTCTCTCTTCCCTTCTCTTCACTCTTTTTTTTCTTTTTTCTTCCCCTCAAAAGAGGTCAATTGATGACGGCGTGTCACACCGGAGTCGGCCATACACCCAAACTCCACTCTAAAACAAAACCCGACACCCGTTATCCATAAATTGGCATTAAATATATAAGTCCGTCTTCTCCGCCTCCAACCCGTCACGGACCGCCTCCGAGCACCTCAAGCGCGGCACCTGGCCCAACTTCAAGAAGCCAGAGAGAAAATGTGTTTCGTCACTTTTTGGGAGATGATAATGATGTGAGGGAAGAGAGAGAATAAAGCAGGAAAGAGAGAGAGAGAGAGAGAGAGCAGTGAGAGTGCGAAGACAGAGGAAGAGAGAGAATAAAGTAAAAAGTGAGAGAGAGAAAAGTCAGTGAGAGGTGAGCAGTAATGAACAGTGAGATTGAGGAGAGAGAGCGCGAAGGGAAGAAAACCACGTTAAAAAACCGAAATCCGAACCGATTTGAACCGAACCGAACCCAACCATTATGTTAACCAAATTCATTTATTTATTATCCGAACAAAACCGAACCAGAAAATGCATGAATTTTCGGTTCGGTTCGATTCGGTCGTATCTCGATTCGGTTTTTGGTTGGCTCTTCACACCCTACTAAATATGACGTGCTTGTACACCGGGGCGATGGAGAGGCACCCTGATATTCACGAGCGCTAGTGGAAGGAAAAAGGCACTTGGTTTATTAAACGTGGAATTCGATGATCAAAAGTTTCTCAAGACTTGGACCCTTCAACAATGAACAAGCATGACCGGCCCAAGCGCAGATACAACGGGCCAGTGAATGAATCAGTTTCAGTGTCGGATCTACAGCTTGCTTCCGTGGGCCAAGCCTAGCATCAAAAGAATTTGCATGCATGTATCTAAAAGAAGGGTGAGAGTTTGCACATATCCAAACCCGTGACCTAATTTAATATTTTTGTACTAAGTACCTTTCTTTTGAAAAAATCCCAGTTCAATCCATGTGGGTTCGTGATTGGGAACCCTTTTCCCCTTATGCGTGCCGTGCCGTGCCACGCCACGCGCCAAATATTGGTTGGAAATCGATTGGAAAGCAATTCAGGGTACATTTATAAAATAAAAATCTCATTACAGATTGAGCTAAATTCAATGACCCGGTTGTAAGACGTGTCGAGATTCAGTGACTAGTTGGGTAACCGAGGACCATAAATTGGGGGGAAAAGCCTAGCAAACACATACATAGTAAAAAGGAGCTAGATATAGGATCGAATGGGGTACAATTTATAGCCCTTCAGTCCAATTCCAACGTACAGTTGCCATGTCCATTCAAGTTCTTATTGTATTCACCATTTTACAGGTGGTCCAGTCGCAGACAAACAACACGCATTGGCCGGGCACTCAACTTTGGAAGATGCCACCAGCTGACTGGTCGCTTTATAAAACAAGCCAAAAACATCGCTGCATATGCAAATTTTTGTGGAGCATTAAGCTTGTTAATTGGAATTACTTTAGGGCTAATCAAAGCTTAAAGGGCTCTGCCTTTCATGCTGCCTATGGGAATGGATTTGTACCATCAAAAGCCAAAACTTTAGGAGGCATATATATCTGCACTTCACCACCTTTCAATTCACCATCATCATGCAGGAACTCTTTCTTTAATGTCCTTTACTAAATCATGCAACATGGATTTAACTAGGAAGCAAAGGATTCGTCCCAAGAGCATATTCTTGTCGCGTTCATACGACAAAGAAGCCCTGCAAGTGCATGCTATATATTAACTATATTGATCAGGAGTGCTTCTCTCGAGACCTTATTCAGTCAGTACAATAAGCGGATCAGCAACCACTAATGTTGCCTCGAAACATATGAATCTTAATTAAGAAGTAAAAGAATAACACAATCATTTTGAAGGAGATTGAATAGTTCACTGAATAGTAGAAGTTTTTCCTTTTATGGGACAACTTTTCTTGAGCTATGTGTCATCGATACATTGCAAGTCGATGTTCCAAATGAGGTCTTATCGACGATTGCCCTGAGGCCGAGCGGACTTGTTTACTTGACCATGTATCATCCTTCCATGTTTTATCACTGTTCTTGGAAGTAATCAGAGTTAATTTAAGTCTCTGATTTGACAAGATCCCAGTCCCTCGTCGTTGGAAATGTGGGTAGGAAACTGGGTTAGTCTGATTTGCATCCATGCAATGTTGCTGGATAATCCTGATTACCAAACCATATATTCTCAACTTAACTAGTTAAACTTACTAATTTACAATTTGCTTGAAAGGGCAACGGACTACCACACAAGTACATCTCAATACTAATTTTGACATATCTTAGCACATTATGCTCACAACAAAGATTTCTCTCATATATTCAAGACCATGTCAAAAGATACTTCATGAAGTGATTGATCCAAGACGAGGGATGGCACGGCAAACCAATGGGTTCTTCATCTCCAGGGAAAGCCTCAAGCATTCTGAAAGATCCACAGGCTTTGTTGGAACCCATTCGAACTGATGAAGAAGCCGCGCTAGCCATAGCTGCACCACAGCCAACCCCATCATCCTGCCGGGGCACACCCTCCTGCCCGAGCCGAATGGAGCCAGCCTCATGTCCGAGCCCATGACCGACACGTCCTCCTCGATGAACCGGTCGGGCCTAAAGGCCCACGGGTCCTTCCATATGGTTGGGTCGTGGGTTATGGCCCACATGTTGACCATCGCCGTAGTGCCAGCCGGGACAAAGGTCTTGCCCACGTGGACGTCATGGATTGCCAGGCGAGCCCACGAGAGAAGCGGACCGGGGGGGTGCATCCGGAGGGCTTCCTTCACTATAGCTTGGAGGTAAGGCAGGTTCGGGATGTCCGAGTCTCGTACATGCCGATCTCGATCAGCATGCATGTCGAGCTCTTGCTGGGCTCTAGCTTGGATCTCTGGGTGTAGAACCATTCTCGCCATGATCCACTCGAGAAGAATAGCAACCGTATCCGTCCCACGAAATATCATCTCCTATGATGAATTGCAAACTATGAGTCATCGATCATTAACACCATTTTCATTTGACATGACATGCTAAACTTAACATTCTTGTCGAATTGGACATAAATATCAACATTCTTTCTCATCTATTACTCATGGTAGACTGTAGAAATATCTTTTGCTGAACATAGGAAAAGTTCATATAGAATAATGAACTTGACATATGCAAATCTTTTCTTTAAATGGGTCGATCCATATAACTAATTTAAGAATATATCATTGAAACTCAATCATGGTTTCGATAAGACATCGAGATTCCGTCTGCTGTTGCACCATGTTAAACCTAGACTGAGGTTATTTTGCAGAGAAAAAGGAGAAGGTATTGCATGAAAATGAATACCGGGTGCCTCTAGACAACCTACGTACGAGAGGACAGACATTCACAGTGAGTGGTGTCTTGTCGAAACGATTCGGTCTCGACCCTATAAAAAGCATCTAGCCTTTAAAAAAAAGAAGAGGGTCTGCGAGAGCTGTTTTACTCGTCTTTAGATTGGACTTTGACTTGACTTCATGATTAAAGATTGTATTCACGTACAACCCCATGCATATAAACAAAGAAAATCTGAGCCTATAAAGCGGAAAGTGTCAAGAATGAAGAACAAGGAACGCCAGACACGAGGAGTCTTTTCTTTCTAAAGAAAGAAAGCTAAAGGGGACAGGTAACGTCAATCATCGGTCAACCCATCCAATGATGCTTCACAGCAGCAATTGATTTTTGTAAGTAATTTTTCTTGAATATGTAACTTAATTACACATTATTTTGTTTAACAATCTCAACATCTCGAGCATTAATCTAATTTTCTCTTTGGAAAAGGAAGATTCTGTGAGTTGTAAAGTTCCTTTCCTTTTCCCTTTCTATTCATTGACTATTTTCTTTAGAGCCTAAAGGCATTTTTCGAGAGTTCAACTAATTATGAATGATAAATGTATATTTACAATGATTAGCTTGTGAAATTGGGCAAACATGGAAAGTTCAAAAGCAGCTTATTGAGAGGTTATGGCCCGCTTGAAGTTGCTCATTTTCTACTCTCTTTTTTTTTTTTTAAATTTGAAAATGAAAAATATCATTCTAGTTCTATGTTTTTTTTGCTAGAAACTATCATTCTAGTTCTAAATTTCAAAGAAATACAAACAAATCATATGCAAATTTAAAGGATAATATCCATAAATTTCATGGTTCAAGCTAACTAAAAGTCAAAGTACATGATTTAGAAAAAGCAAAAACAACTTTAAAAAGTCATAAATCAGTTTACAGTGCCTAATGCATATCAAGTGAGTTTTACTATAGCTTCTCCTAAAGTACCTAAATGGACATGTAACATGGTTAAAACTTCTAGTGGAAACCAATACTTTCACACATATGCCATGTAATATATATACCTTTATGAATTTTTTGCGGAGCTTTTTTTGCATGATTCTTCGTTTTCTAGTTATATACTTATGTGTAAAAAAGGAGTAATTATTTGCATTTGCTTGCATATGCACTGAAAAAAATAATAGCATATTGAGTCTACTGCAAGTCTCGCGTGAATTTCATCGGATCTAAACACGATGGCCCATCAAATTCAGCTATTCAGAGCATATGCATCAGATCGTGGTACTATGAGTGCTCTTGTGCAATGAACCTCGGAAGCAAGAGTGATCTGGAAATATGTAAAGATCGAGAAATTAAAACCATCCTTACCCACAAAACAGCAACCATGTCAGAATCACTCAACCGGTCCTCCTGAGGCAAAGATAGCAAGGCACTGAGAAAATCATTGCCGCCATGAAAAACCCCGCCTCTTCTCCTTTCTTCGACGATCTGACCCACCAAGCTCTTGACCTTAATGGCAAGCTCATGACACCTTCTCTTCACGCCATGAAAGTCCAAGAACCTCAGTGGAATATGATCCTCCCAGTTGAATTTCGCTATCAACTCATACCCTTCTCCGACCATATGGCTCAGCAGCATCTCCCTCTCCAGCCCTATCTCACTCCCAAACACACTCACCAGCATGTTCCTTTGAGAGCCCCCTTGCAACACCCCCCTCAGTTCCACAAACCCTCTCTCCCCCATCTCCCTCCGCACCCCCGCTGACATTTCCCCAGCCACGCACCCCCGGAGCTCCGCGAGGCCGCCGACCCTCCTCGGGGAGAACATGTGGCTCATTGCGACGTGGCGGAGGTGGCGCCAGTACGTCCCCGAGGGGGCGAACCCGATGGCCCGCTCGAACATGAGCGAGCGGACCGATTCCTTCACGGGGCGGTTTGAGAAGGCCGAGTGGTGGAGGATTTCCTTGGCGGTGTCGGGGTCGCTGCTGATGATCACCGGGGTCGGGCCGAGGCTAAGCGCCATGAGGCGCTTCGCCCCGAGCGAAGTCGCCATGGAAGCTAGTTTCCTGTGAGCTAGTGAAGAAGCCATTTGGGGTATGCTTCCCACAACAGGCCAACCGATCGGTCCCTTGAGCTTCGAGTGACCTCCATGGCGGTGATTCCTCCATGCAAAGCCACCGGGGACCAAAAGGTAGTGCAACAAGGAAGGGAAGAGAGAGAGTAGGGAGAGAACAAGGGGAGGATACGACGATTGGCCTAAAGCGAAAGAGGAGAAAATCAACAAGAAAGCGAGTTTCACTAGCAAGAGGATGTTCATTATTGTTAATTTTGGTTGATAGGTATAAGAAGATGTGAGGGCGAGAGAGTGAGAGACGGTTTGATTAAAGCTGATCTTTAGACAGACCGCTCGCAGAATTGTCTAGAGATGGACGTTTTTTCGAGTGAGGATGGCATGTGAGAATCAGTTTGTATTTATAGAGTAGGCGGAAAGTGATTGCGGGTTAATTGCCGGGTTAGTTTCCGTAACCAGGGTTAGTGTCCTCATGCCTTCGTGTTTTCTTCTTCTCCAGAGTCATTGGAATCTTGTCAAGGATATGGTAGAATAACAACGCCGGATATCTAAAATTCTAAAGTATGGGTCGTGAAGTTAATTCATAAAGTGATGCAATGAATTCACGACTAATCTATTATCAACTCGTCTGACTATGCTTTTCTCTCGTGCCTTTCTTCGTGCCAGGCGATACCGATACGCTTGACATTCGAACTAGATTGAGCTATCCCGTTTAAGGGTTGACTCTAATTCATGTTGAAATGCAAAATATACACGCGACCAACTTGGCCAAAAGCATCGTTCATCATATGGATCAAGCATACAAGAAATCAGCTAGAATAGAGTACTTGATACTTGGCCAAAGTAATCGCACAGGCTTTAACATGTAAATTCATGTGGAGATGATTTGATTAGAACATACCGCTAATGCTCGGTGATAAATTGTTTTTATGATCGATACACATTGTCGACACATTCCTGATGTTAGATTGAGTTTCAGGGGGAAAAATGGTTTATTCGACTCTTGCGATAGAATGATATGCACCGTTCGCCGATCATATCACATTTTGAGAAGCACACTCGAAACAAAGGAAAAAAGAAGAGAGGAAAGAGAAAGCGAGGCAGGAGAAAATGCATCAACGTGACGTAACGACATGATATCGAATCAAAAGGACATTGGTGCCTTTCTGGACAATCAGTGTGGCTTCATCTTTTTGGAGTGCTCTGAACCACGAATTGGCCACGTTCGGAATGAGCGAGATCACGACCCCGATACGCCATCATCGCGGTGAGGGACCATGATTCTCTGCTTCCCCATTGCAATGTAAGCACGTTGTGTCTTCGCTTTTTTATGCCATTTCAGTGCTGCACCAGCTCGTATGGCCTTTAACTCCGCACCAGACACGTTGGTCTCGCATCCATCGGACCCTCTTCTTTTCCCATTATTGGTCGATCCAAAGGGGTTATCTCATCGTACTACATGTGTTCCTTTATCCAATTGGTAAGTTCCTTCCAACATAAGAATGTATGGTAACATCAGACACCTTTTGCTTCAAGTGGCTTCATTGATGAGCTATAATAGATTATTGCCAATGATATATTAAGCCCAACGTGTCGGCGTAGATCATTGAACTTCATGAGCGGTCTGGAGAGCCCAGTCCAACAAAACATCTTGTAGACTGTAGAGGAATATTTTCAAGAAATAAATGGTCGGCACGAAAGACTTTTAATTGCTATTTTTGAGTTTTATTTAGCGTGAAACACCTGAATTTTTTTTCAAAATTCAGTGACCCAATTGCAAAATTCATTTAATTTTCATTTCCATAGTACAGCAATTTAATGTCCCAAATTTTCAAAAAAGTCATAAATCTATTGCACTTTTGCCAATTCAATCTCAAAACCTTTCAATTTTGCCAATTGAAATCTAAATATTTTTACGTTTTGCCAATTGAATCCATCTAACCAATTTTAGCTGTAAATCGATAAAACGGACGTCAGCCGTTCTACGTGGTACGACCGACGCTGACATAGACACTTTTTAATTATATTTTAATATATTTCTAAGTTTTTAAGTATGTTTTTATCTTTTCTTCTTTCTTCTTTATTTCCTTTTCTTTTTCTTCTTTCAAGCCCAGCAAGGGCCACTAGTCAACCCTCGCCAGCCGCGAAGCCCTCGCCTGATGCCGGGGAGGGTGGGCTGGTGACTCTCGCCGGACTTGATAGAAAAAAAGGAAAAAAAAGAAAGAAAAAGAAAAAAGAAAAGAAAATAATTATAATAAAGTTCAAATTTTTTATATTTATAAAATAATTACCTACGTCAGTTCTGGCCATCTCACATGGCACTATTAGCATCAACGTCAGCGATTTTCGGTTAAAATTGATCGGATAGACTCAATTAGCAAAATATAAAAATGTTAAAGATTCAATTAGCAAAATTGAAAAGTTTATGACTAAATTGGCAAAAGTGCAATAGGTTTAAGACTTTTTGGACAATTATCCCATAAACCATACTTAAAATATTCAAAGCACCCTCCGATGGTCCAACACCCCCCCTCTCTCTTTTGGCCAAGTTAGCATGCTCCAACCTTTGTTGCCTTGCACCCAGCACAAATGAAAATTTAATCCAGCTATATATGCAATGCGGCCAACAAAAATATGTTATGTATACAATATAGCTAGCGCATCAAACATCGTTCGCTAAATGCCTTCACCACATCAATCCATAAGAAGATAATTTTTAAAAAGAAAACATAACCGGAACACCAAAAGCTATGACAACACAAAACAAAGTTCACAGAATCAAATCCTCTTCCCTGACCAAAGCACATCCTATACTCAAAAAACAGCATTAAAGCACTGAACAATTGAGGCTCTAAAACTGTGTGAAGATTTCAAGCTTATACAGTCAATCACCTGACTGTAGAGAGACCACATGACAAAATCTGGGAATATATGCAACATGGCCAGCACAAATACGTTATGTATACAATATAGCTAGCGCATCAGACATCATTCGCTAAATGCCTCCACCACATCAATACATAAGAAGACAATTCTTAAAAAGAAAACACAACCGGAACACCAAAAGCTATGACAACACGAAACAAAGTTCATAGAACCAAATCCTCTTCCCTGACCAAAGCACATCCTATGCTCAAAAAACAGTATGAAAGCATCGATCAACTAAGGCTGTAAAACTGTGTAAAGATTTCAAGCTTACACACTCAATCACCTAACTGTAGAGAGACCACATGACAAAATCCAGGAATATATGCAACATGGCCAGTACAAATATGTTATGTATACAATATAGCTAGCGCATCAGACATCGTTCGCTAAATGCCTCTACCACAACAATCCATAAGAAGATAATTCTTAAAAAGAAAACACAACCGGAACACCAAAAGCTATGACAACACGAAACAAAGTTCACAGAATCAAATCCTCTTCCCTGACCAAAGCACATCTGATGTAGAACAGTTAGCCTGTGATTATCTTGAAGAATGTAATCGCCGTAATCGCCGGAAATCTAGGCAGTTTTTCTGATTAGGCAGTTTTTTTACTTTAGGCAATTTCCAATTATCAATATTTCGTTTGATTTTATTAGATAAGATTTGATTTGATTTTATTAGATTAGATTTGATTTGATTTGATTAGATAAGATTAGATTTGATTTGCTTTGATGTTATCTTCATTAATTCGGATATCTTTAGGAGTCCTATTATTATAAAAGGACGTCCAGCTTTGTATTCAGATCATTATGAAATTGAATTGAATTCCAGTCGAATCGTGGAAGAGTTTGCCAAGTTATCGCTTCTTTCTGCGTCATTTGGTATCAGAGCAGGTTTCTCCTGTGACGATGGTGAATAACGTGAATGTCAATCTCCCCGCTGCTGAGGGCCATGAGAACGAGCCTATTACGCGAGCTGAGTTCAATCAGTTCGTGGATCAAACCGATCGGAGGTTTCAAGAGATCCTTGATGCCATCCAGCGTTTGTCCACAAACCATGCGCCTGGCAATCTTCCAGCCGAGCGAATTCCTGTTGTTCGTGATCCCGAAGATGCTATGGGGCGTGGAGGAATTCCCCGACAAAGGTGTCAAGACTATGTCGAGGATACGGAAGATGAAGACGATGATTTCCAGGAGATGTAGATTCGTGGTGGTCACCGATACAGGGGATTCCAGGAGGAGCATGTTCGTGGGAATCGACGTCAGGGAGGATATCGACGAGATCCTGAGCAGTATCAACTAAAGGTAGATCTCCCTACTTTCAATGGGAATTTGGATATTGAAGATTTCCTTGATTGGCTTTGGGAGGTCGAAAAATTCTTCGACGCTATGGATATTGACGAGGATCGCCAAGTGAAACTTGTGGCGTACAAGTTGAAGGGTGGCGCTTCAGCTTGGTGGGAACAGACTCAATTGACGCGACGTCGACAAGGCAAGGCTCCTATTCGATCTTGGGGTCAGATGAAACAGAAGTTGAAGAAGAGGTTCCTCCCAACGGACTATGAGCAACTGTTATTTCAGCAATTCCAGAATTGCCGACAATCGAATAGATCGGTCCAAGCTTATACGGAAGAGTTCCTTCGACTCTCCGCTCGCAATAACTTGGATGAGTCCGAGGCACAACAAACTACTAGGTACATTAATGGTTTACGACTTAATATCCAGGATCGGGTTTCTTTGCATCGACTATTCTCTGTCGAAGATGCCCAGGATATGGCTCGAAAAATTGAGATGCAATTGGAGAGGACTAGCCCTAATACCCGTGGTAGCAATTATTCGGGTCGTGGGTCATTCGGGAAAGGAAGACAACCTGATGTTGCAAGTTCTAGTCAACAAACACCTGATTCGAGCCGAGTTCCAGGGGGTACTAGTGGGACGCCTAAGGAAGCAGTCGCAACAAGCAATCGCACTCTCAATCCGAATACCCAGAATCCATGTGCCAAGCCCCAACCGATCAGGTGTTACAAGTATAACGAGTTGGGCCATCGTTCCAGCGATTGTCCTCGTCGTAGAATGGCCAATATCGTTGAACATGACGAAGATGTGTATGAGGAAGATTGGGAAAATGAAGAAGAAGTGGGAGTGGAAGATGAAGTGGGCGAGCAAGTTAATTGTGTAGTGCGTCGTCTATTGCTTACTCCGCGGACAGAAGATACCCAGCGGAATCAGCTTTTCCGCGCTCGCTGTACTGTTAATGACAAAGTATGCGATATCATTATTGACAGCGAAAGTTGCGAGAACATAGTGTCAAAGGCCTTGGTGCATCACTTGCAACTAAAGACGGAGCCACATCCCGCGCCCTACACGATTGGGTGGATACGCAAGGGAGCAGAACTTAAGGTAAACCAATTATGCCGTTTACCTATTTCGAACGGGAAATCATACTATTGTCTGTGATGTTGTGGAGATGGATGCGTGTCATGTTTTACTGGGTCAGCCATGGCAATATGATGTTGATGCTATACACCGAGCTAGGGAGAATACGTATT